GAAGGACCGAAATGGTCAGTTCGGCAAAAAACGCAGCTCGAAGACAGGACAACCAGCACTTGAACAAAAAGCCATTTCATTTCAGATAGAGGTGTGTACATTCAAAAAAAAAGGGGTCATTTCATTTCAGGAAAGCCATTTTACAAGCCAGGGGCAATTTCATCATTATCAGAAGCCACTTCGACAACACCCGAAGGACCTGCCTCCCCCTCGAAGTCTGGTTCGGCATCCGCAGCATTAGCCATCTCTTAAGTAATGTGCGAAGTGGATATGGCGCTGGTATCGAGCTCGGGGTACGTATTCCGAATCATCCACCGGCTTAGTTTGAAACCCCTCATGTAGGAGTCCACCATCAGATCATCGAAATCCGACGAAGCAATATAATCACTGACAGGTTTCTTCTTCGCATCTTCGATGCCTTGAGAGAAGATCTGAGTCCTCTCCCTGATATCCTCCTGAAGATACTCGACCTAGTGCTCCAGGACCAGCTTCAATTCCGCCATATGCTTCACCACCACTCCCATGGCCTCAGCATCTCTCTGAGATCTCGCCTGCCTAGACTGTGCGAGGCGAGCAGCAGCCTCGGCAGCACGAGCAGCCTCCTCGGTAGTTCGAGCAGCCTCCTCGGCAGCTCGCGCCTGCCTCGAGCATCTCTCCACCTGGTTCGCTAAGGCGTGAATGGAAGAGTTCACCTATCAAAAGAAAACGGGATCAAAGGAACGAATAGAAGGGTAAAAGCCAAAGAACTCTAAAGAATGGAGCACTTACCACCATAGCATGAGTAACGGCACGGCAGGCCACTTGGTGCAGAGGGAGCTCGGTCCACGCCGCAACTTCCTCGGGAAACATCGCCTCCTTACTCCATTGAAGAGCATGAACAGGCGACAGCATGCTCCTGAAGTCCCCCGGGGCCTCCGAGCCCGACGGCCCAGCTCGCGTATGGGCGGACTCAGAGTAAGCGGGAGCCCCTGTGTGTGTGGTTTCGGCATAAGGAGCCCCCGCCGGCTCCTGCATAAGAGGAACCATCTCAGGCTCCGCACCCAGGGGTGGTTCGGCGCGAGCTCGATTAGCCACCTGTTTTCTCCTCTTCATGCCCTGGAACAAGTGCCCACCTCGGGTCCCTCGAGAGTCCATCGTACCTGCGAAAAAGAGTTCAGCATCAGTAAGACATGTAAAAGAAGCACAAGACAGGATCGCTAGGGGAAGAACCTACCCGAACTTAGGCCCGCAGCAATAAGCTTGGCCTCCGTCAGATACCGTTGACACTCCAGCCCAAGCC